TATTGCAGGTTGCAGGAATGAAGTCAAAAATCCAAAAGTTATTCAAGGGTCAACTTTTTAGACAACCATATTTTGCTTATCTTAAAAGCTAGCAAACTTTAGTTGACATCCACAACGAAAGAAAAATTATGCTCGGGCACTGACTTATGAAAATTCATTTAATATTCGTAATAATAAAATTAATCATAATATTTAATTTCAGCTCTAGAAGTCACTAGAAGAACTCCTCAGAAGAATCTAGGAGTTGAATGACATCAAAGTATGAATGAAAGCATCAAAGTATCAAAGCACCAGCAGCATCAATGTATGAGTGAAAATAAACCTAAAGACTCAGGTTATGTTTAACAAATAAGTGACCCCGTGCCCTGTAAGTTCATTTCTGTTGTTGTCTTGCCATTGTCATTTCAAGTTAACACAACTGAAACAGCAGAGCAACCCAGATTTATGATGTCTGACCATTACAAATGCTATCTCAGACTGAAATTAGACAAAGTTCATTGCTGTGGCAAAGGTCACATTCTTTTTTGACAGCAGGTCTATCTCAAAGCGGTGTTTCCACGTTTCGTACTGTCTTCCCAATAGTTCACTGACTTCATACTTATTCTTACTTATTCATCTCCTTATCTTACTTCCTAAGAGGCAGCACTTGTTACTGACGTTGCGGTGTCACCGTCATCAAAGGCTACCAGAACTTATACAGTATAGTAACCTAGACTTATGATACCTGACCTTTATAAATGGTATCCCACCTAATATTAAACAAAGTTTACCCTTGCGGCAAAGGCCACATTCCTCGTGGTCAGCAAGTCTCTGCCAACCAGCTGTATGCATGTTTCGTATTGTCCCTCTGCGCGACTGCGGCCAGTGCGATGTTCACAAGATAGTAAAGTCTAGGTTATATTTCCATTTTCTTTCTGTGTCGTTTTATTTAAACCAAGTCAGACGCCGGTCTCTGAGTTCATCTGACAGTTTTCTCAAATCAGCAACTGTTCGTGTGTGACCAGTCGGTACCATCGTAATGCTGGGCAGCGTTGTTGGAAACTGTTTAGACGTTTCGACTGTTTAGCTGTGTTTTAGACTGTTTAGACGTGTTTAGCTGTTTCACAACGTGTTCGACGTTCGTGTTGACGTGTTCGACTGTTGTGCTGTGTTTTAGACTGTTTAGACGTGTTTAGCTGTATCACAACCCTTCAAAACCAAATAAACCCTGCAAATATTTTGAAACTACTCACAGGTACGGTCAGTATGGCAGCTTTCAGAATAGTGATCTT